GAAGGGTTTTTGGGAGATTCGGTAAAGTAATAAAACAAAGCTTTTCCAGTAACGGGATCTACAATAACATGTCCCGCGTATTGAGCGAAATCTGTTCCACTAGGTTGTCCAGGTAGAGTTTCGATCTTGTCGATATCCTTGAGCCCATCTTGAGGGCCAATATACACAGGGATATTCGACCTTCCTGATGAAAGCTCTGTGGTAACAATGTTGTCGTCTACAACGTTAGTGTGTCTTAGCCTAGACAACAGTAATCTTTCCCTGCTCAATGAACTGAAACCTTTGGCCTCATAGCGTTGAATACAAGCAGCTAACAGGAAGAGGAAGGAGAAAGTAAAGAAAAGAGAAACTTTAGTCATTATTACTGCCAATACTCTGATGATTGAAAGCTTAGAACATCAATCCAGCCTATTTAAAGTAGAATTATTATAATTGGACTCTTCTTAAGTGTTAGGAGGCCAATAAAAAAGTTGTGTATAATATTAATGGATCAATTAATTATTGAATGTTGTTTTAAAGAGATTATAAGAATTTAAAATCTACTCTTGTATAAAGAAAAATTAATATTTTCAAGACAAAAAGTAAGAAGAACATTGTAACGACATAGACCATATGTGGATTCGTAGTAATCAATGTTTTTTAATGCATTCTTGTCCCTACATACCGTTTGAATAGTTTTTCGAAGGTAAGACAAAACTTACCATTCTGACAAGTAGTGTTATATGGGGCTATTGTTGTTGGGTAGTTCAATAGTTTTTATAAAATAGTTTTTATACTCTTTGTATTCTTCCATCTTCATCCTTTCAGGCTTTCAGCATTGACATGGTCAACAATATAATAGAAAATTCCGCAGCGGCTGAGTTGTGAGCATATAGCGATTAATGTGCAATTTAACTATCAGCTTAGCCTTTTAGTTGAGATGGAGCACATGCTTCAATTTGATATCAGAGCCAGACCAAAGGTCATGGGTCCCAAGCTTAAGCTTCAATTTGGTATCAGAGCCAGACCAAAAGTCATGAGTTCAAATCTCAGCGCCACTCACGTGTTGCTTGAAACCCACCGCACACGTGAGGGGGCGTGTGAGCATAAAGTCATGGGTTCAAATCCCAGCGCCACCCACGTGTTACTTGGAACCCACCGCATACGTGAGGGGGCGTGTGAGCATATAGCGATTAATATGCAATCCAACTGAAATTATCAATTGGACTCATAATTAGTTATAGGCTTTCAGCATTGACATGGTCAACAATAGAGATCAATTGGACTCATAATTAGTTATAGGCTTTCAGCATTGACATGGTCAACAATAGAAAATTCGGCAAATTATGCCCTGGACCCGTGTCTACAATTTCATTGTGGACACGGGCCCAAAACGACATTGTTTTTCAAAAAAACGCGTTATTTAGTTATATAAAAAAAAAAATCGCGCGCGTTTTGCTGTTAACGGCGTTATTTTTTTTTTTTTTGGATTATGAATGTACAGTTATGCCGTTATGAATGTACAGTTATGCAATTATGAAATTATGAACACAGAATTCTAACATTATGAACTTACAATTATGAACATATATAGTGATAAAATTATACCATGGAGCTTTAAAATTGTGAATATAGAGCTTCGAAGATTATGAATGTACAATTATGGAGTTATGAATGTACAGTTATAGAGTTATGAATCTACAGTTATGGAGTTATGAATCTACAGTTATGAGATTATGAATCTACAGTTATGAGATTATGAATGTACAGTTATTGATTGAATTATGAACAAATAGCTCTAACATTATGAACTTACAATTATGAACATATAGTGATAAAATTATGAACATAGAGCTCTAAAATTGTGAACATAGAGCTTCGAAAATTATGAATGTACAATTATGGAGTTATGAATGTACATTTATGGAGTTATTAATGTACAGTTATAGAGTTATGAACGTACAGTTATGGAGTTATGAATGTACAGTTATTAACATATAGTAATAAAATTATGAACATATACTCCTATAACGAAGCGGTCTGAAATTTAAAAAAAAAAAAAAAAAAAAAAAAGAAGATAACAGTGCCTAACGGCACTGTTACCCGTGTCCAGCAAGCATGCTGGACACGGGTCCAACGCATAACGATTGAGAAAATTCCGCAACGGCTGAGTGAAGCCCAAGAAATTATCAATTGGACTCATAAGTTATAAGCAAATTCACCGTATACCATAACAAAAAGTACATTTTTAATATATTATTCGTATACTAAATGTATATTATATAAAATAATATATTTTCTTTGAATACAATGTACATTTTTAATATAATAAAATTCTTAAAATACATTATTTATGTAGTGAATGTACATTATTTGATAGTGTGGTTCACATAATAATAATTGTAAGTTATACTCTTAAATTTTAATCTCATTTTCAAATTATTAATGTAAATACAATATTTTTTTTGAGATCCACGTGATAAAAAATATTCTATTATTACTTGTCACATAAAGAAGAAAAAGTGAGGAAGTATAATTTGAGAGTACATATAGTAGAACACGCCTATAACTTACCTTTCCAAATTAAGAAGGCCTAGCTAGTCACTATTACATAGAGTTAAATTTAAAATTTTGTAATTATCAAGTCAATTGTTTGACCAATCGATTTGAGTAGTGCTAATTTTCTTTGTTTATGTCTTTATAGATGTTGTAGCATCCGATCGATGTAATATATGCGGCTAACTAATTCTTTATTAGCAGCAAATTAATTGTTACGTGGTATGTGACGGTCAGGCCAATGTTGTTTGGCTGTTGTCTATGTTCATTACACATATTTTTTACTTAATAATGTGGTGATCCTTATAATGTTGACACTAAAGGATAAGGACATAATTTTCACCAAAATCCAATCTTTACCCAAAACAATGGGTTCTGAAGAAGGGTTTTAAGCAAATTCTGTAAAGTAATAAAATAAAGCCTTTTCAGAATTCATAGTAACGTGTTCAACATTTTGAGTGAAAATACGCCATTGGATTGTCTAGGTAAGATCTTGATTTTGTCACTCTCCTTGAGCCCATATTGTAGGTCAATATGGACATGGATATTTAATTTGTTGACGACCTTGAATTGATACAAGTTGTGTTGTGTCAATATTATCTACAACATTTGTGTATCTTAGATCGACTAGACAACAACATATCTTCCCTGCTTATTACTGAACTGACACCTTTGGCCTCATAGCAGTGAATACAAGTAGCTAACAAGAAGAGGAAAGAGAGGGTGAAGAAAAGAGATCGAAACTTTAACCATTGCTGCCAATGCTGTTGATCCAAATCTTGGAAGATCAATTTTATTTTAAGAAAAATGACACTTTTCTCCCTGAGTTATATATTTATAGCACTTTTTTTCCTAAATTATTCAAGTGACTGTTTTTTCTCCTGAAATGTTAAATGGACATATTTACCCTTAAAATAAATATTTCATTTATTTTTCTTCTCTACAAATTATGACTACGATTTGGTTCAAACCGAACATATACTAGAGCGACTAAACCGAAATATTCCAATTACAATTTAGAATCGAAACTTGATATTTAGAGTTTATTAAAATCGCGAACCGGAAAGGCCGGTTCATGTTCCGGACTGATTAAAATAAAATACATTTATTGTTGAATTTATACTATTTTAAAAATAAAGATAGACAGATAGTTCAAAATCGAAAACCGAATCCAGAACCGTCCGTTCACGGTTCAGGATCCGGTTTTTTTGATTCATAATTTTAATAAACTGAAATCCCAATATTATAAGCAATAATTTGTTGGAGAAGAAAAATAAATAAAATGTTTACTTTAAGGGTAGAAATGTCAATTTAATATATCAGGGAAAAAAACACCACTTTTAGAATAATTGAAGGGACTAATGTGCTTACATGAATAACTTTGAGGGAAAATGTGCTATAAACATATAATTCAAGAAGAAAAAGTGTCATTTTTCCCGTAAAATTATTGTAATTGGACTCTTCTTTAAGTGTTACGTGACTAAAAAAAAAACAAAAAACAAAAAACAAAACAAAACAAAATGTGTACCATATTGATAGATTAATCAATTGTTGTATGTTGTTTTCTTTGAATAGTAAACTACGATATCATATGCCGATCGATTCGTAGCAATCAATGTTTTTAACGCATTCTTATCCCTACCATCCCTACCACTGGATAGTTTCTCGAAGCTAAGGTAAGACAGATTAGAGTTCAAACTTGATTCATTAGTTGTAACAGAACCGATTACAAAGTATTAAAAGATAATTAACGAAAGACTCTCCTGTCTAATAGAGAATCCTAAGTCAATTAAACCTAAGCCACATAATATAACTATATGCTATATTAAAATAATAATACTCACTAACAAGACAAAACTTTAATTTCCATTCTGACAACTAGTGTTTGGGGACTAGTCGTCGCTTTGATATACTTTATTAATTTTTGTTTTTTTGAAAGCACTTTATTAATCTATATGTGTGAAAAAAATAACTCTATTATCGACCAAATTTATTTTATATTTTTATTTCAATAGCATTCAAAAAATAATGTAATAAAGAAGAGTACCGATTGATGATGAACATAAGATAATCCGGAATAAATATATGCATCATCATTAATTATATTACTAGTTTAAAATTTTAAAGTCAATCGATATTTTTTATTTACAAAAAAAAAAAAAAAAAAAAAAAAAAGAGTATATTCTAGGTAAAGATTGTCTTGTGACTTTAGCTGGTAAAAGAGTATAAAGAAGAAAATTAGTTTATATTTTTCATAGTTGACCGGTTCAAACCAAGAAGATTAATAGACAGTTTTCTTAGGGAGTCTAACTTGAACTTTATAATTATCAAATTAACTATCCGACCAACTTTGATATCATAATTACTAATTTAATTTGTAGCATATATATTGATCCGTATAGATATTTTTTTCCAGTACAATCCTACATACATATATTAAAGAAATGATACAATTTTCTGTGCGAAAAAAAAAAATGTTACTTATAATTTATTTTCAATCCAATTTATTTTATAATTGTGCGTACAAAGAAGAGTAAAGTACATACATTTTGGGATAAAGCTAATGGAGTACAATTAATCAGCTAATTAAGCTAGTTTTTAGTGTCGTGTGGGGGAAGTGTTCCATTAATGAAGGAAGAGAAGAGCACAAGTGCCCGAGCTGGCTGATAACTGGGAACAAAATGCCCTGCTCCTCGTACTGTCACCAACGTTATGCTCTCATATTCTTCTACATATCCACCCACCTGCCAATTCAAATGCAATATTAATAATTAGAATTAAGGATTAAATGATTACTGAGATTAACACATAGTATTTTAATTCTTCAACAAGTCACCCATTAATTACCTCTTCTTCAGGGAGATACCAAGGGTACCAAGGAGTTTTAACTGTTACTCCAAGTTTGTATAAGGCAAGTCGGGTGTCTGTTGTTGGCACCACGCTGTCTGTATCTCCGCTGTACATTACATTAGAGTTAAACGAACTCTTAGATACCATTAGATGAACTATTATATATATATAGTTTCTCTCTCTTTTTTTTTTTCAATAACAAGGAAAATATAAACCAATCTAAATTGTTCATAAATGACTTACTCAAATCAAGAAAGTCAATAATGACTGCTCTATTGAGCGTCAAATTTGTAATGGTGCAATTATCAAGTCAACAGTTTGACTAATTTTGATTCTTTGATTCAGTAATTAGTAATTACCTGTACAGCCAGATACGAATACCGCTTCCCATCAACTCTGTTATGATCGGTAAAACAGTTGGCGGTCTTTTCCAGGCGGCATTAAGTGTGTCGCTGTTTAGAATTTGATTCACAGAAAAAAAAAAAAAAAAAAAAAAGTATATAACACGAAAATCATAAGTATTCTTCTGGAAAATGTATGGAAAGAATGAATATATAGTTTCGAAATTCAAAGTAAAAACCATACTTGCAGTTGCTCCATGGATGAGGAGTGGCAGTTATGTTTGCATGAAGAGCAGCCTGAACTTGAAGAGTGTTTAAGTATGTGTCGGTGTAATCATCGGTGCAGGGATCATATCCAGAGATCTGTTCAAATAACAAAACCAATAATCTCGTCATCATCAATTATATATAATGATTCTGTTTCTGTTATTTCTAATCTGTCTGACTAGGAATCGATACTGACAGAATACGAGGGTGAATCAGAACCGCATAACGGAGCGTAGATGTCGTATGGAAAAATATCTCCAGCTTCATTGCCCATTTGGATGTTAACTAAATTTAAGCATTTCTCAGACGCAGCACTGGGAGTAGAGAAATTGCAGGTGGACAGGATGTTCTTATACAGTTCATTGGAAATCAGTGCATGATTCCAAAAGTAATCTGCCGTTCCCTGCATATTTGCTTCATAGTCCACATATGCATTTCCAATCTGAGGATTTCATCAGTGACATATATATCAGTAACTAACACTCATAGTTTCTGATGCTTTTAAGGATCAACTTAAACATGTTTTCTGGGCTTACAGCAATGCCTTTGAGATTGATTCTTGACTGGTTTGTGTGCTGGTTGTTGTGCAATATAAGCTGAGCCAGCTGGGGAATATAGTGCCCAGCGTAACTCTCTCCTGTAATATAGAAATCCCTAGTCTTGTATTCTGGAAACCTTTCTAGCCAGTTAACTAGAAATGTATATGAATCCTGGGCTGTGCTTTCGTCCCCAACTTTGTCATAGTCCGAGCTTGTATTTGTGTACGAGAATCCAACTCCAATAGGTGATTCAAGAAAGATTATATTTGCAACTGGTAAAAAAAAGTTCATATCAGATCATATACTTAAGTAGTTAAGTGTATATATAATTGGATTATTAATATGTATACTCACCGTTATTCCATGCATATGGATTACTGTTAAGAGTTTCACCACCTTTGGCAGGTCTAAATGGCCCAAGTTCCCCGAATGCTCCTGCTCCAAGTGAAGAACAACCTGGTCCTGTACATATATAAAAGTATTCAAAACATTTTCATTATATGGTTTTCACAAATCTTTTGTAACTTTTGTTGTTAGTGTACTTACCTCCATTAAGCCACAAAACAAGGGGTTTAGAGGAAGGGTTTTTGGGAGATTCTGTAAAGTAATAAAACAAAGCTTTTCCAGTAACGGGATCTACAATAACATGTCCTGCATATTGAGCGAAATCTACCCCACTAGGTTGTCCGGGTAGAGTTTCGATCTTGTCGATATCCTTGAGCCCATCTTGAGGGCCAATATACACAGGGATATTGGACCTTCCTGATGAAAGTTCTGTAGTAACAATGTTGTCTACAACGTTAGTGTGTCTGTGTCTAGACAACAGTAATCCTTCCCTGCTTATTGAACTGAAACCTTTGGCCTCATAGCGTTGAATACAAGCAGCTAACAGGAAGAGGAAGGAGAAGGTGAAGAAAAGAGAAACTTTAGCCATTGCTGCCAATACTGACATTGGAACATCAATCCTATTTAAGGTAGAATTATTGTAATTGGATTTTTCTAAAGTGTTACGGGTCCAAAATGGATTAATCAATTCCTGTCTGCATGTTGTTTTCTTTGAATAGTTTACTACGACCAACATAGTGAATTAGTGACAAACATTATGTGACTCGGAGTATTCGAAGTTAAGACAAGACGACTATTCGGACAAGTAGTGTTTGGAGACTACTGTTGACGGGTAGTTCAATGGCTTTATTCTGTTTGTATTCTTCATCACTTCAGCATTATTTTGAGATATAGTCAATATTAGAATGCTATATGATCATCTTTTTCCTTATTCTGATCTCCATAGAATGTATAGTGCAGCTAACTTTTTTTTTTTTTTTTTTTTGGGTGACAGAAATCCCCGTCACTAAAGGTGGACACGGGATAAATCTGATTCTTGTGTAATAATTTACAAATTAAAATAAAACCACACTAGAAACATCTTATGTTACAGGCTGGTGATGAGTGAAGAGTCATAGTATTGAAACAATCCTTATACGGTATACTATGGACCAAGGTTCACAGTGTATTATAGATCCTGGTGTATGTTTATGTGTATTTTATTGTAAGTTTTTGTGTATTGTGTTATAAAATTCTTTACCCTAAGAATATGAATTATGTACTTCAACAAATTAGCTAGTAATTGTGTCTTATGTTATGAATTTCGGTCTTGTGTTGTGAAATTTTGTACATTTGTACACAAATTATATACCTAAATCATATTTTAAAAATAACTAAATATTGAAATGATAGTAAATATGTGTTTTGTGTACATATGTACACAAATTATGTACCTAAATCAGAGTATGAATTCTATACTCGAACAAATTTGCTAGTAAATATATGTTTTGTGTTGTGAAATTAAGTATCATACGAGTATAAATTTTGTACCTCGTCGTTTCGATTCAAAGTTCATAATACTTTGTGGATCGTGATATAAATTGATGTATTGAAATGTCTGGGCTCCTCGTTGGGGAGTGACGATGAGGTCCAATGGACCATGCAAGTGCAAAGCCCACAACGTTAAAACCATTTCAATGATGACCTCATTCTGAGTTTGTGCTTACCTCATTGTAGATGTTGGTGCAGGCCCAAAAATAAAAGAAAATAAAACAACAAATAAAAGGTGGTTGTCAAACACATATTGCCAAAGATCATCGTCGTCCTGGTCTTAGATAAGAGGGTGTTCATTTAAAGAAGGAGAAGATGCAGGGACCATTAGAGAGTGATTGGATTGGAGTAGCTTCATTTGTTGGTTATATATTGTTCATCATACGTAGCTATCTTCCTCGTCTTACTGTTTTATTACTTGTTTGATTGTTCTGGCACGTAACTGAATTTTTTGGATGCACCTCTCACTATCCTCTTCCACTTCTTCTATATATAAACTGCCAATTTAGCAATCCTTTTTTTCTTTAATTACATAATAAACTAGATAACAATTTGCTATATGTATATATGTTGGTTTGAGATTATTTCGTATTAATCCATTTATACCGTTTGGTCAAATCAATTCTTTCTTCTTTCCTTATTTCTATTAGAATTTTCATAAAAGCCTAACCTATAGTTGTTAATCTGGGTAAAGTTTACCTTATGACTCTAGTAATGACAAATTAAAAGACCATAATGAGGTAAACCAGCTCAGATTGCTCATAGCTAGTCAGCTTAAATCGAGAAAATCGATAACAGGTCCTTCAAATGATCAAACTTGAAATATTGTGGTTACCAAGCCAACTAGCTGACTAATTTGACTGTGATTTGCCACCAAATTTTCGTAATTCAATTACTATGTGCATGATAAGTGATAACCCATCTCGTTTGTATTCTCAAATCGGAAACCTATTAGCTAGATAGCTATGCATTTTTATTATATATTTTATTCTGTCTCACCTTTTATCCCAATACACACCCTATATTTGTACACCAAAGCCAACTTTTTTCTCCCCGTGTCCAAAAGCACTATCATGGTGATTCACATGTTCCACTTTCATTAAGAGATGTTATGTCAATTTTCTCATCACAATTCCATATTATTATGCTTTTTTGGCCATTATGGGGGTGAATAAACATGATATTGGCATTTGTTTAGGATCAAAAAGTACAATTATGCATGTCAGCAGATGAGACAGACATACAGCTTATGTAGTTGGTGTATATATGTTTTACTAAGTAAAATGTCCCCATTCCCCAGCTGGGTTTGAAAGTGGCTTTTGTTGGTACATGAAAATTAGTAAAAAGGTTGAAGCTTTGTATGGAGTGGCTGCTTTTTACCCTTTTATCATGACACCACTATCTTCCACTGTGGCTGTCTGTGGTTTCTATTTTTCTATTTTGGCTTCTTGCGTGCTCTCCAAAAGAAAAGCTATTGCAGGACTCCAGAAACTGATGATATGATGAAGAGGAAATGGAGGATATATAGGATCCTCCATAGTCTATATATATGGACCATATATGTATAGTACTAGTAGTAGGACCACCTGAGGCAGGATATTATACTATCTAGCTTAATTATATTAAGCCTCCTTATTAACATTAGGTCAACTTATGATATATATATAGTCCATGGCTAGTCTATAAGTGGACAAATGGTTGTGCTCTTTTGAGATTACGGATTTGATTCCTAACTTTACAGGCAGGTAGTTAATCTCAAAAGGTTACCAAATGCTAGTGTGCACAAACAATCTGTCCAATTTGGATTACTGAACCAGTGAGTTAAGTATGTCCAGTCGGTGCAAACATCAGTTAAATTAATTATATGTATCATTTGATGATTAAGTAATATTGAGGGTGAAGCAACAATGTCCTCCAAATGTCATGAGGTAAAATGAGGGAAGGAAAGGAGGCCATGTTAAAGAAGAAAAGACTGGGAAAGTAGTGAGTAGTGAACTATAAGCTTTAGTGCATGAGGTACAATAATTTGGGTGGGTGTGAATCTTATTATGAAATTCACATACAATAATAATCTTCAAGATGAAAAGAAGAGGTCCCCACAGTGATACAAAATACTTTAAATGCATTTCCAATCATGTCCACTTTTTCATCAGAAAAAATTAGATTGGATCGATTCCAATCAAGTTGGTTTGACAGTTGATTTCATAATTAATAAGACTACGCTAAGTTTGATTCTCTATAAAAATGTCTATTAGCCCGTGAATTTTACCCAAAGTATACCTTTAGATAGGGAGATTACAATGAAATTCCTCATAAGTTAAAGAATTAGATTGGATGAACAATGGTCCACCATTGATTTTTCCTTGTATATATGGTCCCAATGCAAATCTGAGCTGCAAACTTCAATCCAATTCTACCTCAAACTCTAATCATTTCCTTCCCAAACACGACCAAACCAACTCAAATCCATAATCCTATATTAAGGTCTTAGGTGATTTAGTTTAATGTTTTTGGTGAAGAGTCACATAACAACTACATCAACAACTAGGCTGTTCAGCTGACATTATTGAATTCTTTGGTCTCTCATAATTAAACTCTGCTGTACTGTTCATGTTCCTGTTGACGACACTGTTCATTTTTATTCTCAACCCAACATTTCATTACATCAGACAAGTATAATATATAGATTTAGTTTCAAATGTGAACCAATGCTATCATGTGAACCTATATACCATTATGCACCGTTGATCTTGCTCGATCTTATGGTTTATAATGATTTTGACCTGGTAAATATACATCATTACACCAATGCACCACATCACTGTAAAATCACACCGGTTGCACCACTGCAATGGTCACACCTGAAATGGACCATATATATATATATATATATATATATATATATATATAATTTGGGTTATGTAGCATTTGGTGAGATGAAGGGGGACCGTAGTGGTGCCAGATTTCCAATGGCGTTCTGGCAATCGGATTGGGCTCTTTTACTAACATGAAAGGAAAAGAAGGGGACACTGGGGGGACCTATATGTTTTTTTTTATATGGTGGGGATTGTGGGGATTTTCTTTTCTTTTCTTTTTACCTTTCAATTATATTCATGATCAATTGATTGATTATTGTCATTATTATATGTTACTTTGTTGATCAAGATTTTGTAATGAGATCCAATTACTATAAGAGACTAAAACATAATTGTTCTTTAGTGATTTATAATTACTATGGAGTATATGTTATTATTATTGTTGTTGTTATTGTTCCCAAAAGGTTGAATCCCCAACCTCAAGGATTCTCGCGCCCCCGCCCGACATATCAGAGCATTTGGAATTCTGGGAGGATAAAAATTATAGTAACTCAGCTGAACACAGAGCTTAGCTTAGACCTTTGTTCACTACGCACAAAAAATCTCTTCTCACTTTAATTATTATTATTTAGTGGTAAAAGTTATTTTGTGATTGATTCATATTATTTGACAATTCAAATGTCAATTCACTATAGAAAAATCTTTACTAACTTGAAAGAGTAAATCTATTTTGAAACAATAATATAAGTGTACGAGAAAATGATGAATTTTTAGAGTTCAGGTAATTTTAGTGAGATCGTTGAATTTTAATTTAGATTTGATTCATGTTACATATGTACACCATCAAAATTTAACTCTTATTATTTAGAATATAATTTAATGTCTAACGTACTTGAACTTCTTTAAATAACGCACACATATAAGAATGAATATCATGCCTTATAATTATATTAATCGATTAATCGATTTCTTAGGAACTGCAATTTTAATTTTTCAACCAATTAATATACACACTATAGTAACTAAAAATATTGCTTCCTACTAGATTTGAAGTCATTATAATTAATAAAAAATTATAACGTTGAGGTTGTTGCCAACTATGCATGGCATAATGGTCCTATTGCAATTTGCAAATATATATACAATTCGTCTTTTTACAAAACTAAACTCTAAACTAAACAAAAGTTAAATCATAAAAATTCTAAAATACGATGAACATTTTTATATATTCTCTTTATTTCATTGTATCTATCTAATTTATTAATCAAAGTCTATGTA